CATTTCTAGATTAGTCTGAGCAACATAGGACTCATTCAGCGTACCTCGGTGACAGCATCTTTAGCTGGTTTTGCAATTTCTTTAACAAGGCATTCAGCAATAGGGGCTTTGTGTTCTTTCAAAATTGCAGCTGCCTTATGAAGTAACTCTGCTCTTTTCCATAGTGGTGTTTTAGCCCATGATTTTTGTGCTGCTTTTGCTATTTCCATTACTTTGTTCACCTCTTCTTGTGTACATGCTGAACAATAAACATTCACAAATCTCGAATGTTATCAGTTCTGGTACGTAAACCAAATAATACAATACAAGCAAAAGTACCTCGATGCGAAATCAAGAAATTTTATCAATGTGTTATTAAAGAGTTCACATGACTCGGTAATTTTACATAATGACATTTACCTACGACTCAATAAAATGTTAACTAACATGTTATAATAGGTTAAACTACACTGACGATAGTGTAATTATTGTTCTAAAATACAAAATTCATAAAGTTGAAATCTTGATTCTGTCACCCGTACAACAAATTCCAGAGCACTATCCACAAAATTCAAGGAACCTTAGAAACAAATGACAGAAAATTCATTATACATCATGACATTTTTCTATTCAGAATCCATAAAGTTAAAATCTTGTCTCTGTCCTAGAACATGAAACAGTCTGATACACGAAAAGACCACACTACATGAGTCTATTGTACGCAACTTGATCCATGTCACAGTTACGTGGTAATAACTTTACCAGTTACGCAAACGCTACCCTTTCAACCATTAAAATCTCAAACAAACATCAATCTTGATATATTTACTCTACACACACAAAATTTTCAATCTTGATAATTTTTATTTTTCTAAAAATAACATACCTTGAACTTTGTATTGTGTCTTTCTTGTAGTAGGATTAATAATAGCAACAGATTTTCCAGAAGCTGATTTTTTCCATTCTCCTTCACAATAATATTTGTACACTTCTCCATCAATTATTTCTGCAAATACTCCATTTCCAGCCATTTTTACACCAAATTTTAGATTTTTTTTCACAATAATTAAAAAAAAAAAAGGATAAGAAGAGAAAATGGTGGATTTTTATTATTTTTTTTGGGTGAATTTAGAGTGAGTGAGAGTGTAAGTGTGAGTTCTATAAATATTGGAGAAATGTGAGCCACATTTACTAGTAGTATTGGACAATTTTGAGACATGGATTTTAGTTGTGAATTTGACATTGTTTTTGGAGGGTATTTACTAGAACGCCATCGTGATCTAAGTTGTTAGAGAAATTAAAAGTTAGTTGAAAGACACGTTTCTTTTTGAACGGTCCACTTGTAAAACCCTCATACCTTTAATAATTATTTTACATATATATTATTATTTCAAATCGAGGATATGTTAGAAACAATCGATCGATGTCTCCAACATGAAAGTTATAAAAAAAATCTATTTATGTTTTCTTTTTCTCAAGTTTTATGTGTGAGATTATACAGATATGTGTTAGGTTCGAAGTGATCAGGGAGTCATGTGAATTATTGAGTTGATAAATCAAATGACAACAAATACATACTAAAAACATGTTATTAATATGATTTAACCAAATGACTTACATATGATAAAATCAATATTACAAAACATAAATATATTTTAAAAAATCTCCTCATAAACAAAAATTTATATCGACTCCTAATATTAGCTCTAAAATTACCATATTACGTATAAAGAAATAATTTAATTATAGCTATATAAATATTTATGACGTTCTTTACTTTATAAATTTCAAAAATAATTAATTATAAATTTTCAAAAATCATAGTTATGATCATATGTCAGCAAGGGTGGTTAGATAATAATTAAAATAAGAATGGGCTTTCCATAAACAAGTTGTTGTTTCTAGAATTGGAAAGGGATATCACATATATATACAAAGATTCATGAGCTTCTAAAAATGTCAGCAGCCCCCCGAGGATGTTGGAAGTTAGAATTTTACGAGTTCAATCAAATTCATTAATTTTCGTTCAAATTTTATATTTATCTTTAAGAAATTTAATTTATATATATATATATTACTTCAAAAATTTAAAGTGATAAAAAATATGAACTTTAAATTCTACCTCCGCTTTTTCATTATTAGAACAAATCCATACCTAAGTATGGGCATTTGGTTCTATCCACAGCCTAAAGCAGCTTCCTTTTATTTATTTTTTTTCTCTCTTTGCAATATCGTGAATGAATGAACCTTCCTTAGTTGAACTTTTGTTGGAAAACTTCAAGTCATACATCGTCACGATTCAGATTTAATATTTAAATCGCAATAGAATATCTTACTAGTTACTATCTGTAAAATGAATCCTTTTGAGTTATAATATGCACTGGGAACAATGATAGATAATAAAAGAGAAAATATTGCGAATATGCTCGATACATTAACTTATAAAGTATATAAGTTGTCCATACAAGTGATATAACTTGTCAGTGATCATGTTATGGAGCTACTAAATCTGAATACAAATTATATTATGAGGCTCAACTCAAAAAAAATAATTCCTAAATATATTATACATTGTTCCACTAATTATGATTCATGCTACCGATATCAGGCCTACATTTTATTAAAAAAAATCTCTATTTCAAGGTTTGAATTTGATCAAATATCCAATTGCAATGGAAGGAATATTAACTATTTCATCACACTATTTTATGTTATAATTAACATAAAATTTCAAGACCACCAATGGAGTAAAAAAACTATTAGACTCTATAGATTAAATTGAAATAAGGTGGTAGGCATCATTGCTAATTGTAATAGTAAAACTTATTAGAACATATAGGAACTTAATGTGCTTAAAAATTAGCTGGTTGAAAGTGATGGATCAGATAAAGAAAGGTAGGGGGCAAAAAAGGAGTGTAAATGATATAGTATCATATATATCATAACTAAGACGAGCTATGGATTCATTTATAAATTCAGAACTCATAAACTTTAAATATTTTATCTTCGCGTTAGATGAACTTCTTTATTTATTCTCAAATCCCACTTGTTGAATTATACGGAATATGTTGGGATTGGTATTTTTAAGTGATCTCGAAATACATCAAGGAGAGGGAAAGTTGTATACAAGAAAGGGACACATTTTGGACCATATATAGTGTTTGATGATTTTGTGGCTCATATGCTTTTGTTTTCAAATCCTAAGGCTTTGGAGAACCACAAATGTAGTTAAGGGGTAGGTGAGTCCATTACAATGATTTCAAAGAGCATGGCTAAAATTATTTTTAGGATTAGGATTTAGGACCACACAAATGAGGCCCATTCAAATTGTTGAGTTGGAACCTGTCAGTTTGGTGATAAAAACATGAGTTGGTGTGTCTATAATAAACAAGACTAAGTGACCACACCCCTTTAAAATCTATCTTACTACTTTGAGTATGAAATTGCTTCTAGTAAGGAGTTTTTACCTTTTAAGTTTGAAACTTTTTAATGCAAATTTGGGTTGATTTAACGCTCAAAGCGGTATCAGATACAAATATTATTGAACTTTTTAATATTGATATCGTATTCGCGTAGGTCCTCTAAAAATATACTAATTTTTGAGAATTCAACACGCTCGTATCATATGAAAAATACGAAGAAAAAAAATAGCAATATGCACTAACAGTAACTACCAGGAATTGTGATAGGATCAAAGATTTCTTCGCTTTGAATCAAGAAGTTCGGGTTCGAGCCTTTGAAGGTGGAATGTGTCATTTTTATGACTAATACATGACATTAAAGACAAAATATGAAATTTAAAATAGAAGATTTTTGCAATTGAAAGGTATTTTAAAAAAAAAAACCAATAAAATTAAACATAGATATTTATCATATAAAAATGATATTAAATTGTTAAATACTGATTTATATGTAACTAATTAATATTAATTTGGTTATCAGCTTAACCATTAAGATTTCACATAAAAAAATTTCTTCAATGAAAATTACTTAGAAACAAAATGACAATCCAAATGAACCATTCATATTAAGAGTTGGTTGATTGCATCTTACTCAAACATGACATTCTCACATTATAGAATTACGAAATTTTTTGATATAGCGAGAAGTAAAAGTATAGAACTACATAAATTACTAATTTACTATCAGTTTTCGGTTAATATATAAAGCAAAAATCCAAAACGTAGAACCGATACCCCAATAAAACAAAAGTACCAATACCGTTATTAAAATAGTTAAACCAATAACTCATTACCGATAAATCGCAGTTCTACTTTGTTTTTCTCCATTGAAGTCCATGAAGCAAGAGAAATAAGAAAAAGGCCGGCCCATTTAGATTGAAGATCCAGGCCCAGGCCCGTAAAAGAAACCCAACAAGCAAATTCTCCCTCATCGCTTATACAAAGCTACTTTGCCTCGTTTATATAGCGGAATATGAACATGTATGCTTGTCCCTTCGGGGACATCCGATAAAATTGGAACGATACAGAGAAGATTAGCATGGCCCCTGCGCAAGGATGACACGCACAAATCGAGAAATGGTCCAAATTTTTTTTGCCTAATTTTGTTCTCAAATTTTCTTCAAACATTTAACAATTTTTTTGCGCTATTTCAGACCTTTCTCCTAATCGGGCAACAATCGATTGATTAGAAATTCATCTTCAAAGCTAAGTCCCGAAATACTCAAAGTTTGATTATATTGGATGTTGATAAACTAATGAACAATTATTTAAAATTTGAACGATATATTAATTTGTTATGTTAATTGTTATGATGAGTTCTACATGTTAGCATTTACAAAAGTTAGTATGTATTTTGAAAAAAAGTATATAAGTATGTATTTAGAATTTTAAACTTTCTATCGTACCTCTAATGACATGCTCTTCTAGTTTGATATATGTCACGATATATGTCTAAGATCATAACTTTCAAAAGTTTTTTATTTTTATCTTGAAGCTTTATTTTTGAGTCAAATACCTTCACATGGAGTAATAAGTTAAAACTGGAAAAAGGACAGAGAATTAAGAAGAAGATGATATTATTATTTTTGTGTCACATATTTATGTGTGAAACGTTATGCAATATGATATACTACAACAACATACTCAGTATAATCTTGCGAGTGAAATTTGAATAGAGTACAATTGAATTTCATTGGAATAACAATAAAAACTTGGTCATCTTAATTAATTAGATGTGTGTTTATTTGTTAAATAAGTCTTGGCTGATCTGATGACAGTCTGCAATGGCTCAAACATAGTGAATGCATGATTTGCAAGTTTCACATCTTCAACTTCATAATTTACTGTAAATTTTGTGATGCATGAATTTTCATCTTTCTCATTCACTTCAAATCTAATTCCATAAAAAATATATCCAAGATCAACATATCCACCTTCAATCACTTGAGATTGCTTGTATCTTTTTTCATTGTCTACTATGTTGAATCTTTCCTTGAAATAAGGTATTCCTGATGTACCTATTTTAACAAAAAAAAAACATAATTAATATCATTTAATTAAGTTTTTTGATGGTGTTACTAAATGTTAGCGTTTATTCTTTTCTTGAGTCGAGGTTCTAGGAGAAACACGTTATCTACCTGCCAAGATAAGGTATAACAGAGACCTTACTTGTAAGATTACACTGACTATGCTAATTTTGTTGTTGTACATTTAATAAAGTAAATGATTCCCTTTTGCAACCAAATTAATGGTGATCACCAATTGGATGAAATATTTTTGTCTAAATCTCACACGCTAGCTGAAGTAATCACTAAGATCTTATACAATCTTGTTAGATATTTTTGAGGGTAGATCGTATTACCCAAACCACTAGAGTGATCAAACAATCATGAAAGGGCGTAGTAGTGCCTACTACCATAACATACTACACTAGGCTCATATGAAAAGAGCCTTGTCAAGGAAGCAGAGCGATCTTATTTTGCTTTTGAAGCTTCTAGCTCTAATAAGCACGAGATATTTGATTTTATATCTCACTACGAGTGTGATTTAAGCTATATGACATTTACTCTACATAAGAGGAAAAAATAACACATGGGATCTTTAAATGAAAACGCAAAATCTTCTTTGGATCATATCTTTTCTATCCAGATTTTAGTGGACATAAGATATCATTTCCTCGATAAACATTAAATTTAAGATGATTAATTAGATTGATTTTACTTACCTTGAGGAAAAGTGATTTTGAGGACAGTTCCAGTACTACCATCACCTTCAATCACATCAACTTTGTTGAGAAGAGTAGGCAACTCTTGCACAATGAACCTAGACAAATGTAATGTTCCATAGAGCTCCCATGCTACATTTGCAGGCACATTCACTTCTATCTCATCTGAAATTGTCCCCTTCATATCGATAGAGCGCGGATGTGATGGACGCAGAATTTTTAGTAAGCAATGATTCGTGAAAAAAATGTTATTATGTTTTAGTTTTTCTAGTGGAATTTATAGTAGTACACCATGTAAAATTTACAAAAATGTGTATAAGGTTACAATTGCCAAGTTTGAATTTGGACTTAAAAGACTTCCATCTTGGCTGCTGGATACTATATATTATATCATAAAATATATTGTGCTGTATTAATCATGTGCTATTAAGAATATATTATATATAAATGCTATTCCCAAGTCAATGTTGCTCCAATTGATTCTAGACTAGGGTAATCTACACATTTATAAGTAATCAAATGTTCAAATTAAAATACAAATAAATCAAGGAAATATTGTATGATATAGCAAATTATTAATTCAAATTAAATAATATATTTATAGTTTTTTTTTATTTGTAATTCACAGCAAACATTTCATGTTTTTGGTCATCCCATTTGTATATCGATATACAATAGACCTAAATACATATTTTTCATGTATATGTATATCAAAATATACAGATTAATAGTCATAGCAAACATATAGTTTGCTATGAAGTACAATTATACAAATTATAGTTATAAATAACAAATATAATTTTTATATTTGCTAAACCTAAAATTTATTCAATTATAAGGTAATGCATTTGAGTTATGTATATTGATATACACCCATCATGTTAAGTTCATTAATAAATGGCACCAAATCGATAAATCAAGTTAAATCGACGATGCTAATAACAACAACAAAAAGACCAGCTAGTAATTTAGTCTAATTTAATTTGATATTTTAAAATTTAGACTATAATTGATTTGATTTTGCTTTGCCTAAAAGAAAAAATCGAAATCAAATCAATATTATATGTTAAAAAATTTATTTTTGTTAACTATAAAAATAGGTTGTGATGTAATTTGTGTTAATGGGGCTCCAACTGATTCTCCTTCTAGACGAGCTTATAAGTTTAAGTTTTATATATTAACGATATTAAAATGAATATTTATATAATTAGATCACTTATAATAATATAATAATATTTAAAACTATGAAAATCAGTGAATAAATTTCTTACACCACTTAGAATCTAATTTATGCCTAGTGGCTCATAATATCAATTTTGTTACACAAGATAAGTAAAATAAAAAAAAATACAAATGCCCTGCCATACAAGGAAGTCATTTCAACCAATTAAAATATGAAGGCCGGCCAATTATGATTATGCAATTGTGGTTGAAAATTTATCTTTTATCAACTTATATATCATCAATATTAATTATCGGCCAGAAGCAGATACCTCTTTATTGACACGTCTGTTTCATGTTAAGAATATTTTAAAAATTTCATATCGAGAGTATTTTTGAAATTTCAATATCTACACTCCAAAGGAGTTTTTTCAGTAATTTGGTTTCACATCAATAAAAAAATGTTTTATCAAATAAATTAAGAAATATGTCTTTTTTTGGATTAACTCAAAAAAAAAAATATCACATAAATTGAAACAGAAAAATATGTAACGCTACTTTATTCGTGGTTTGTTGGCCTCACTTTGCATGTAGTATTATATATAGATATATATATCTACTATATGTGTGTCTCATAGCAACTTAATTAATATATATTTGACTAATAGTCACCAGAAAAAGAAGAAGAAAAACATGTTGGGGAAATTTATAGAGCAAGTACAAATAAATGCAGCAGCAAGTGAAGTGTGGAATCTCTATGGCACTAATGAATTTCCAAAATTTGTTGTTGAAAAACTCCCACACATTGTTGAAAAAGTTGAGTTAATTGAAGGCAATGGAGGAGCTGGTACACTAGTGCAAGTTAGTAAGTTACTAATCTACTACTTCAAACCTCGTAGAATTTATCTACGATATTTATATCAAATTAATAAATATAAGCTCTGTGTCGTGCATGAACACAATTAGCAAAATTATCTCTTCCTTTTTTCTCTTCTTTCAAAGGCAACATATAAATGCAAAACGCTTTATATTTATTGATTTGAGATAAACATAAGGTGTGAAATAAATTTTCACCTATATTAGTGGAATTGTCTATTCCCTTGGCTTTTATACTTACCACAACAAATACATTATAGTTTTTTACCCGCTATATTATACCTATTACACGATTATCTCATACCTCCTATGCTTCACTTTATTTGATACTTATTTAAATAAGAAATATTTATAGCCACACAAATGTTATGGAATATTTAATATCACAATTACTTTTTTTTAATTGAACTTCGTGTTAAATCAAACTACGACAGATGATTTAAGTTTGTTTGATGGCTTTTTGATACTTTATTTTTGGACAAAATTAAATGTATTAGGTTTAGTTGGGAATCCTCCATATAAAGAGAAGTTTGTGTTAATGGATGATGAAAAAAGAGTGAAGGGAGTAGAGATTGTTGAAGGTGGATATCTTGATCTTGGATTTACTTTTTATGGATTCAAATTTGAAGTCATTGAAAAGGATGAAAATTCATCTTTCATCAAACTTACAATTGATTTTGAGACTAAAGATGTTGAAAATGTTCATCTTACTATTGCCAATCTCCAAGCTTTTATTGCCATCATGAAAACTTCTGCTGATTATCTTGAGAAATAATCTTATTATTATTATCATTATTTGGATTTTTTTTCATAGCTTATGTTGTAATTTTCCATTTTACAATTTCTTATTGTTGTTATTTCCCTTTCTTGTAATGTATTGTATTATGATGGACTTACTATTTGGATGTTATTAAGTATCTGTTCATCAAGCTTCAACGTATGAGAAAGAATCACTTAATACTTTTTTTTTTATTCCTAACAATTTTATATTTAAGACTTTATGATTTTCCATCCATTTGTTGATCGCTTAGTTAGTGGCAAAGCCCAAAATTTTGCTAAAATTATTCAATATCTACTATATAATATATGTATTGAAAAATAATTTTGACCTATATAATTAGCATATATATGTAATTTCACTAAGTAATGTTTTAATGAAAGGTATTCGTCTACCTTTCATTATAATACTCTCGAAACACAATATTAAATATATTTCTATCGTATTAACAAAATTGGGCTTCATTTAGATAGGACTAAAACAAGAAATAAAAGGAGTTCAGGCCCGTTCCAACGAATATACCCAACGAGCAAGCTAATTTTCTATATCGGCTTCACAATATTCTTTATCCTAATTTTTTATAGTAACTCTGCTCGTATCCTACTTTTATTATAGATTTATGATTCAAATTGTTGATATATAACATTTATATAATGACGAAGAACAATATAATTTATTTAAAAATATATATTCATTAAACAATACAATATCGCACAATACTATATATACATTATATACATTTTCCATTCAGAATGAAGGGTAGTTGTGCCTGGACTTAACCATAATGGTCCAGCCCACTTAACCAATAATTGTGCCATCTTAATTATAAATTGATAAATAAATCTTAGAAATAAGAGATGCTAAAAGCTAAACATGTTTTAATAATTCAAAGAAAAACTTTCACATATAGCCATTTAAAAATAGTCTAATTACATTTCATAGTTATAGTTTGTTAATTTTGATTCGTAGCTATATGTTATAGGGAGGAGGGAAGAGAGAGGCGAATGAGAGGGTCGGGAATGGGAGATGTGAATTTTATAGGTATATCAATTAGATAATTGTATTATATATATATATATATGTATATATATATTTGTGTATTCTGACGATTTAGATTGGGAGAGGGAAGAGAGAGGCGAGTGAGATTGGGAAAGGAAGGAGAGAGGCGAGCGATAAAGGATAATAATTTATATAAATTTGCATACCCTTTCTATAATTTGCAGGTATGTTTGTATAATTTGAGTAATATAAATTCTAGAATTATACAATATAATAAAAATCGAAATAACGAATTGATACAAACCTAAACATATGAACTTGAATCAAATAAAAAATATATTATACAAATTACATTACATGAATTATATTATACAAAATCTAAAAATTAAATGTCTATACAAACTTTAAAAAGTTATACACAAAAAGATTGAATACATATGATGGACAAAATTGAAAAAACCAAAAGAAATCATCCTCATATACAAATACAAACCATCGTATACAAATATAAATCAAACAAAGAATTGTTAGTTGAGAACTATATAAATATGTTGAATTATACATATATACAAACATGACTAATTATACAAACTTGAGGTCATCCCACACAATTAATGGGCAATATTACTCTCAAGCGATAATCGTAACAAATTATAGCTACGCTGAATAATTAATTAGTTGAAAATAAATAAAGTGTTAGTCTAACGAGCGATTCAAACTAATATCATTCATCATATATAATTTCCACCCTTTTCTGATAGAGCTCACCTCGTACAACTTATATATCTTTCACACAGTGTGTGAGCTATTTTATAGGAGCGGGGTTAGGGTGCATACTAAAATGATTGTATAAAATATACCTAACCTAAAGTTAATTCTCTAAAATTTAGACAATAATTGTATAATTGTACCTAACCTAAAGTTAATTCTCCAAAAAGTATATAACTCCATTTTTACTCTCTCTTTCTTCCTTTGTTTCTTCTTGAAATCTCATTTCCTTCACCTGCACTTCACGGGTACACACGAACATGGCACCCCCCAATCAATCTCCGATTTCATCGCCATTCTTTAATCAAAATTAAATTTTTTTAATTAAAAAAAAACCCAAATCGATTCCGTTTGACCTAGAAGACAAAAAACCAGAAAAAACCCTAGTACCATTTTTTTTTTTGGTATCAGGAACTGTGTATTTTGATATACCCTTTATTGAATCTGAATCGATCCAAAAACCCCAAGTGTTGTTTGAGTTAATTACATGTCTTAGATGAGGTTTACTAGAAGATTTACGAGGATTTTTATTATCCTCTGTTTGATTGCTGTTTTTGTTACAACTCCAATCTTGTTGTTTTCTTCACATAGGTTGATTCATCTTGGTTCTGATGGTATGATTTTGATGTCTATGCATTTTCAAGTTGTTTGGGTTTGTGGGGTTCATTTTGTTTTTGCTAATTTGATTTGTTTGGTTGGATTTTGTTCACATTTGGGTTGTTGCAGCATCGAAGGAGTTTGTTGGAGATTTATCCATTCTTGTAAGATTTCTACTGTTACTGATTACTGTTTATTGCACTTCGGTTGTTGTATTATTTTGTGGTAGTGACTGTTCCTTTTTCAGTGTGTGTTGTCATGCTTTCATTAGTTTCAAACTGCTTTCCAATGCTTTACTTGAGATGAGATGTAGGGGTAAGGTTTGCTTATACAATACTCTCCTCAGACCCCACTCGTGGGATTACACCGGGTGTGTCGCTGTTGTAAGATTTCTTTTCCTTTATTCAGTTTTTGTTGCGGGTATTGCTCGTTTTGGTGTATGTTGTTGAGAGGAAGTAGATAAAGCAGCATAGATTATTTTGAACATTTGGTTTTACTATTTTACAATGCTTTTGCTAGTAATCTGTGGTAGCTTTTTGAGGGGAAGTAAATAAAGCAATATAGATTATTTTGAACATTTGATTTTTCTATTTTACAATGTGTTTGCTAGTAATCAGTAAGAGCTTTTTTTTTTTAATAGAAGAAGTTGTTTTTTGGGGACCCTTGTTGTTTGCCTATTTTCAAGCTGGTGTAAAAGATAAAGCTGTTAATGGTCCCCATACTTCCATAAGTTCCATTTACACTGTCTATTTGTTTTGGTATATGCTGCTGAGGGGAAGTTGATAAAGAAGCATGGATTGTTTTGACATTTGATTTTACTCGTGTAAATTGTGTTCTCTAGTAATTTATAAGAGCTTCTTCCTTTTTTATAGCTGAAGTTAGTTCTTTGGTACCCTTGTTGCTTGTAGATCAAGCTGTTAATGGTTCCCATACTTCCATTACCCTGCCCTTTTGTTTTGGTATATGTTGCTGAGGGGAAGTTGATAAAGAAGCATAGATTGTTTTAAAACGTTTGATTTTACTCGTGTAAATTTTGTTTTCTAGTAATTCGTAAGAGCTTCTTCTTTTTTTATAGCTGAAGTTAGTTTTTTGGTACCCTCGTTGTTTGCATAATTTGGACTTGGTGTAAAAGATCAAGCTTTAATGGTTCCCATACTTCCATTACCCTGTTCCTTTGTAAAGGCTAGGATGCAGAGTTTTCTGTGAGAAGAATTATCTACTTATTGCTTATGTCAGTTTTTGACTGGACCCCGAGTTTTATGATGTTTGTTAACTCATATAGAGTCTATTTTTTTAGTAGTGGTGATGATCAAAATGTCGAAGTAGTAGCCGTTAACAAGTTCGTTTGATAGAAAAGATCATATCAAAGTTAAAAATTTGAATGCTTTGGAAGTTCTAAAAAGATGGAAAGAGTGTCTTGTAAATTTAAACAAATGGAGTCTATTGTATGGGATCTGATTGAGATTTTTCTTATTTGGGTTTTGATTGGAATTGATGGATTATATTGTTATGATATGATCTGACTGATATTTCTATTTCTCCATTTCAGAAGCACAGGATAGAGGTTCAGGCGCTTAATGCAGTCCAACAGGTGCTATAAATTCTATATAAGTTCTTCCAACTGTAAACATCCACTTGAATTGAACTTTTGTTTGCAAACCTTTTTCTGCTTTTTGGTTTAGGAAGAAGTTGAAACCCTCAAAGAACCAATCTTGGATGTCTACCGAGATGGAAACCAAATTTCTGCAGTCAGTTTGTATACCATTGATAAGAATGATAGTCTTGGTCAACCTAAGAATGTCAGTTTGGCTGGAAATAATGGTAATTTAATTATTCAGATGTTCTTTACATCCCTCCCCCCCACCCCCCCAACCACCACCACAAGCATTTCTTTTCATTCAATAACTAGAAATTAATTGTACGCATTCCTACCTAATTTCAGAAACCACACATGATACGAAGAAAGTAGGTCAACAAAGTTTACCAGAGGAAACACTGGGCAGACGAGAAAAGGCATCGGTATGTATGGAAGTCCAATGGACACCACATCAAAGATCTCATTCATTTAGTGTGAAATTTTCTTCATCATTCCTTTTATTTAATAAATAGATTTCAATCTTTTAATTAGTACAGTATAAATCATAGAGGTGCTGTTGGTGGAATCATTTGCAAGTAGAGCGCAATGGTTACAAATCATTCATATAGTTGATCCTGAAATTTGGCATAGTGGGCATAGTGGAACAGTTGATTAAACTTAAAAGCCACTAATGTTGTTTCTCCAGAACTTGAGACTAATAGATATACTTTTATTATTGTTTGGCTAAAATAGATTGATGGTGGTTATATAAAATATCACGTGTTGTTTGCAGCTTGAGAGTTGCATATGCATACAGCTGGATTCCTTTGTTTGGTGGTGTTTGAATTTTGAAGGTGTTGCTTTAACGTTGTGATTGTGATAATGTGTAATAATAAACTATGTCTTCATGCTTTGGAACCTTACCAAGAAATGGTTTTCTTAGATTAAGTTAAATTAGCAAATTTAGATTTTGCATGTTCATGACGACAGGGAAGCTGTCGATTTGATGGTTCAGATGAATTTTTTTTGTTCTTTTTCTTTTTTTTTTCCTAAATCAAAAGAAAGTTTGACTGGACGCTTATAGGAAGGGAGTTTTCATGTGCCATGCTCATTTATGATTTTCACTTTTCAAGATTCAGCGGTTGTGTAAAATAAAATGTGATAAAGTAAATCTTAATTATTGTATTGAGGGTTTAAAGTAATATTGGTTTCTCTTTCCACTCGCCGTGGATGGTCGAATACTACTGGTCAACTCCTGGAATATGTTTTATGTATTTTGTGCATGTTAACTGCAATTAGCTCTGCATGTGATCACCTTATTTCACTTGGTTATATTGCAGGAAAAATCCAGACCAAAAGAGGTGCTTCAGAATGTACAGTCTCATCCACGGAGGGTATTGGATGAGAGGGTGAAGGAGATTAAAGATCAGCTGATAAGGGCCAAAGCATTCTTGAATTTTGCACCGGCAGGTAGTAACTCTAATTTTGTGAAAGAGATAAAGCTACGAATTAAAGACTTGGAACGAGCTGCTGGTGAAGTTTCAAAAGATTCTGATTTGTCTAGGAGGTAAGATGATAATTCTTTTATCACTTTAATTCTTCGTAATACTGTAATAGCTATGACATCATCTCTTCGTAATAGCTTTGGTATCATCTCTTATTCGGACACAAGCTCAAACCTGGACACATAATGGAACCTGGCTGATTTGATATATGTTGGTTGCTCCACCGTCGCATAAATCTGCTTGGCTTGAGTAAATGGCTCTTTTGAGCTATTTTTTGTACCTTCTTTTTTTACAAGTGTGAGTTATGTTTTGTACTTATTGTGTCTGAAAGAGTATCCGGGAGAAGGTCGAAATGGTTAAATGAAATTGACAAATAACTTGGTGCTTAAGTTTATTATGTACACAAAAAGTGACTTAACTTGTTATTGGTCTATCAGTAGTTGACGAAAATTGGTTGGTCTGGTAACTAAGTGTTGAATGTTGGCAAGTGAATATGTTTTTTCTTAGTCTTGTCATTAAGTACTTTATGTATTTATTCTCTTTATGAACTTTTCCTATTTTTTAGTTCCAGACCCTACATAGTGGGATTTCACTGGGTTTTTTGTTGTCCTGTTTTTTAGTTTACTTTTTGGGCACAGTTATTAATCTGTGAAGGGATGTTTGGATGTCTTGAGATAAAAATGGGTTGGGGAAGTGACAATAAGGCTAATTTTGTAAAAGGGAAGTCGTCCGACTTTTTAAATGCTAAAATATGGGAAAAGTATTGAAGAGTGTAGAGGAAAGCTTTTACTTTTGGAAAGTTGATAGAATCTTTAAAATAGGGAAGTATACTATTTTGATTGGAAACTAGGGAGCAGTTAAATGATGTATGTATAATCTAAGAACAGTTATCATTTTTAGGGCCATACAGAAGATGAAGGCTATGAGTGCAACCCTGTCGAAAGCCAGTAGATTGTTCCCTGATTGCTCGGCAATGGTGAAAAAACTTCGTGCGATGACTTATAATGCTGAGGAACAACTTCGAGCGCAAAAGAATCAAGCTTCCTTCCTTGAAAATCTTGCCGGAAGAACTACTCCGAAAGGCCTTCATTGCCTCTCCATGCGGTTAACCACTGAGTACTTTGCCCTACAAACCGAGGAGCAGAAACTACCTAACCAACATAAATTTCAGAATCCAGATCTCCACCACTTCGCTGTTTTCTCTGACAATGTTTTGGCATGTTCTGCAGTTGTCAACTCAACTGTATCAACTGCTAGGGTGAGCATCTCCCTAATTTTCTTATTCTTGGCTTTGAATTTTCTTTTTTTCAATTTCTTACTACTCCCTCTCTTTCAATTTATGTGTATTACTTTCCTTTAGTCTATTTTAAAAAGAAAGCAAATTTTTGTATTTAATTCTCCTCTTTAGTTCCATTATCTCACATGGCATGTTTAAGATCACAAGATTCAAAAGACATTTTTGGTGTATTACACACATCTTTAATTCAAGACCACAAGATTCAAAAATCTCTTTATTTTCTTGATCTCTGTGCCAGTCATACCATTTTAAGAAAATTAAGAGAAGGGAGTATATTTTTTATTCACGCTCTATTTTTTCCTTTTATGTTTTCTCATTGTTAATCTGCTGTTATCTTAAGATGATTAAGAATAGAACATAGGTATTTGGAGTATATGTCATTTTGCACATGGCCTTTAGAGGAAAATTTTAACATTTAGTATCTATGTTAACTGATGCTTACCTGTAAGCAGCTTTGGCTTTAGTGCGGAACAGAGTAATTCCAATTGTGCATATAAGTCCACTATCGACTTATGAGAACACATGCTATTATTTGTTGGTGTCCTCACTTCTGCAAATAGAATTCCAAGAACTAGTATGATTGTGGTATCATTATCATTTGTAACTTATCATGCAACTGTCATGTATGGAAGGGCTAAACTCTTATGATTTTGTAACAGTAGATGCAAGGAGCAACTATTGATCACTATATATATTTTGAAGACAAATTAAATAATCATGGTTATGCACAAATTTATACTATTGATTATTATAGATTTTACAACAACAACATTCCGAGTGTGATCCCATAGGGTGGGTCTGGGGAGGGTCGTAAACCTTACCCCTACCTCGTTAGAAAATCGTTTTCCGACAGATCCCTGGCTCGAACAAAGCATTTGAAAAAAGGGAATACGGAAACTATTACTATATATTTTGAAGACATAAATTAAATAATGGTGGTTATGCACAAATTTATGCGAGTGTTTATGTATTTGGCAGGCTCCAGAGAAGATTGTGTTTCATATAGTGACGGATTCTCTTAACCTACCAGCAATGACAATGTGGTTCTTGTCGAATCCTCCTGGCAAAGCAACAATTCAGATCCAGAGCATAGACATGTTTGATTGGTTACTGAACAAGGATACTCTGCAGAAGCAAGAGTCTCTTGATCCAAGATACACTTCTCCACTGAATCACCTGCGCTTCTACCTGCCTGAAATTTTTCCTTATCTCAACAAGATAGTGCTCCTTGATCATGACGTGGTTGTGAAAAGGGATCTAAGTGGACTTTGGCACATCAACATGAATGGTAAAGTGAATGGTGCGGTGGAGACTTGTCTTGAAGGCGAGCCGTCATTCCGGCGAATGGATATGCTCATCAATTTCACTGACCCCATGGTGGCAACGAAATTTGACGCGAAATCATGCACATGGGCATTTGGGATGAATTTGTTTGATCTGCAGGAGTGGAGGAAACGAAACTTGACTGGGCTCTATCACAAGTACTTGGAGCTGGTATGCATCTATACCCTGTTGTTTGTTAATTACTTATGGAATTGACCAGCGATTAATCATATTCTTAACTTCTCTATAATAATGTATGTGTATAATTTTGACTTATAGCTGTTTTATTTAACATTGTTCTCCTTGTATTCGTCACTGCCTCATTGTTAGCCCATGCATTATGCAGGGAAGTGATAGACCATTAATGAAAGCTGGTACTTTGCCCATTGGTTGGATGACCTTCTACAAACATACACGTGCTATAGATCGGAGATGGCATGTCTTGGGATTGGGGTACGACTCTGGTGTCAAATTGAATGAAATTGAGCAAGCAGCTGTGATTCATTATGATGGAGTTATGAAACCATGGTTAGAGATTGGACTCCAGAAGTTCAAGCCGTACTGGAAGAAACACGTTAGGTATGAACATCCTTTTGTGCAACAATGCAATATTCATGACTAGGAATTTTATCCTTTAGCAGTAGGCTGAGTTCCATTTCACCACAATCACGTAGTGTAGGAACCCCTCACGTTCACCTTATTCTTTCACACATTGATCCCGCAATTTTTAACTTGTAAAGTCCAACTTTTACGCCCCTCCTGTCCACGTTTATTTCCTGCTCAGTGGTCATAGAAATTTATCCCACAATAGCAATAACTTGGGACCTGATATTGGCATGTCCCTGAGATTCCTGCAATGCTTGGACTTGCATGTATATTGATCTTGTAGAATGCTAAAAATGTTCTTATAATTTACCAGTTGTAGATGAGATAAGAAATATATTTCTCTGTGACATTCTTCTTGTAGAATGTATATTGTTGGAGAGGCTTTGGAAAAAACTTATAGGGTGCACCTTATTTTAATTTTTTCAATCATCCGGTTCGGATACTCATAGACACAACTAATCTAGATTCACATTTTAGAAAGCCCATCATGGCTAGTGTTTTAACGTTCTCCAGGTTTGAACTTAAGACCTCTAGTTAAGTGTCTCCGATAACAAATTTTATTCATAGCATTAAATTTTCAAAGTCTAAAATGTAAACCAATTATTATTACTATGAATATGGCAAAGATATTTTAAGACAATTTCCTAGAATGGCTCTCTGGATTCTGTATGCTGGGTAATCAACTAATCATCATTAGGGGATGTGATTATTGATGAGTAAACCTTAACATGATCTTAAAGGAGACTCAATAATCAACATCAATTTTAGTTTCCTTCTTCCAATATCGGAATAAGACTTTTGTCGACATTGAGCCATTTTCAACCTTTTGCGAATTAGTTGGGAATGACATTCTGGTCTCAATGGAATCGACAAAACATGTCATTTGAGGTCGTTTTGTCAAAATGTTTATCAAAGTTGTTACTTTAATCGAAAAACACAACAAAACTCCAAGAAGTGAAATACTCACATTGACACCTCTGGGAATCAAATCTAAAGGTTGTTCTAGACCAAAATTGACAGTCTGGAGCTAGTTGCAGTGATAGAATTCGATTTGAGCACGTTTATCAAAAAGTTGACCCAAGTCAAATTTTGACTGAACTTAAAAGCTAAAATGCCTAATCACACTGACTCTAAATAGAAGCTTGAAAACCTGAGACAAACATCACAGTAGACAAAAAAGACTCTTTCAGAGCTTGTGGAACTGATAGAGTTTTGATCCAACGTCAGAATCTCTGAATGTTGACTGAAGTCAATTCTGTCAAGCATTAAGCTTCCAAAACTCAAAACTCGCGTCAAACTCAATGAAATCTTACCTTGTACAAAAATCATGTACTATGATATTTCTTGAGAAATCACGAGTTTCTTTCCCAACAATTTTCCACTCCGCACTACACTCTACGTCGACACAGGAGAGGAGGAGGACCAGGCATTTTGTATCTTCGGGGGATAGGATTTGACGCTCTTCATCAAGAGAACTTCAATCTAATACTCATAATGGATAAACTCATGTTTTACCTCTATTTTCATTATGAGGATGTATCATGTCAAGATCCGTTCAAATCGAATTACGCCAACGTTATGGAAGTTTTTGGATCGTGTAAAATAATAATAGTACCAAAAATAACACCTTTTATAATCATGATTATACTTTAATAAGTTAAATCCAATATTCTTTTTTCTCTTTCAATTATGCATGCCTCCTTGCTCCGTCTCTCCCTCCTTTGTTGCACTCTACTCTCTCTTTCTCTCTTGCTCGCCTCCCTGTATATACACACACAATATATTTCACTATGATACTCCACATAATAGGGACATTATTTATTCAACTCTATTTTGCCAAATAGAGGGAATGAATACATGGGAAAAAAGAGAAGAAACTACTTGTGTCAAGTGCAACTCTCTAGTCGTTTCAACACACTGTTTTGGATCAACATGTACCTATCAATCTATATTTCTTTATTTTGGTATCGCGAATGAAAAGCGATACAAAAGTGAACACATACTAGGGATAAAATTGTATCAACTTGTATAATCTTATATGTACTAAACACGACTTGTATCGATTTGTATGTATAGAATACAACCTATATTTTTGTATAGCGAGTGAATACAGTTGATACAACTGTATTAGTAGCATGTATGTGTCAAATACAACTTATGTCAGTCTGTATTTCTATACCGTGAATGAATACAAGTGATACAACATGTATCAACGAGTATGTATCTGATACAATTATATCAACATTCATATATCATTGTGTATTCGTTGATACAACTTAAATTCATCAAATGTAATTTGTATCTAGCATCTCTCCTCCTTCTCTCCCAATCTAGCTAGCCTCTCTTCTCATGCTATAAATGGTAAATACATAAATTATAGAGATAGATTTCTCAAAACCTTTAATATTAGTCATTTCTGAATTTTTATTTAACAGTCTCAAATTAAGCATCAAGATAGTTATAGTTAAGATTAAGATACATTTCACCTTCTAAACATTGAAAAGGAAGATACTAAATTTCTAAGGGTTTGATTGGTGGTATGATCACATCATCTTCTGGAATTGTGGTCAAAATCTCTTTGCTACTTGTTGCTCCTTTATTCTTGATCTCCATGCTTTTCTTTTCTTTCTGTGCTACAAAAAGATTGAACAATCATATTTAGTGACAGATCTAGAATTTAAATATCATAGTTTCAAATTTAAAATTTTCTCGCGGCCTAATTAATTTACTTGATTCAAACTATACTTATTTATTAGTGGGTTTATAACACATATAAGGTATGAGTCAAGATTATTGTGTTAGGGTGAATTTACATACATCTTTAACTACATATGCTCCTAATCTTTAACATTATCATGTAGTTTAATTTAAAAAAGAAAAAAAAGAAAAAAAAGAAAAGAGTAATAGATTACCTTGAGTTCTCCTAAATCTTATAATTTCAAGGGCACGTTGCAAAGCTGGATTTTCTGCTGCTGATGTTATAGCTTCATTTATGCTCATGGGGCTTACAGTTCTACGAATTGATACTTCTGCCTGCTCCCCTTCCTCCATTACTTTTTTGTCCTTGATACTACTAGTGTTTTGCACTTGTAGCCTTGGCTTCTTTGATGAATTTGCTAATGGGGGCTTTGTAGAATCCATTTGTGTTGATTGACCAACCTATATAAAAGAGAGAGAAAAATATTCTTTTACTTGCTATATATATGGATTGTTTTGATATGTATACATCTATATGTGACTTTTTAGGACAATGTTATCTAATCAATTGATCAATCGATTTTAAGCTAGATACGACATTTGACCAATAAATATCTTATGATTTTTCAGTGATGATATTGAACTGGTCTTTGATTTATATACGTTCTATAATTTTCAGGCAAAGATTGTTTAATTAATAGGTCACACTTGAGCCTAGAAACAGTATCTATATTATATGCATTCTATGACTAAAAACAAAGAGAACTCGATCAATAAGTCTTGAGTATAACAATGGTCCTTGACCTATATGCGTTGTGTGATTTTCAAGCAAAAGAAAATTGATCGTTCAGTTTTGAGCCAGGTGACGATCTTTGACCTATATGTATTCTATGGTTTTAGGCAAAAAAAAATGTTAAAATGATAGATTGATTGATTACTTTGTGTTTATGTGACTCAATCAGTATTTTTAGTGTATCAAATTATAAAGAAAAAGAAGAAAAAAATAAGCAATCAAGTTACCTCAATTGAAGAAAAGAAGAGAAAGAGCAACAAGTTGGTAATTGTGAAGGGAAGAAAGAGATTAAATAGTTAAAATGAAGAAAATGATTAATTACTTATCACTAATTCAGTCAACTCTCATAAAGAGAGATTGATTGTTGTAATGTATAGGATGGTTAGATGCACCATAATTTCTTTGTTAAAAATAAATTGTGACAAAAAGTAAAGAAAATAACAATTTAAGTAAAAAAAACCTTTACTTCACATTAAATGCAAGTTTCCTCAAAAGATGATCATAATTTGACCAAACAAAACACAAACACAAAATATATTAAGCTTGACTATTTCATAATTACATAATAGAACTTAAGTTCATGAGGAGAATTTCTTTGTTGTCTCTTTATCAATTTCTTTGTTAGTTTGATATACTGAAATTACTGAGGAAGTTATATAAATACATAGTAATCAATCAGTTCAAAATAAGTTAATCAATTTAGTATTTTTTGTCCAGAAAATCATAACTTACATATAGGTGAAAGATTGTCAGTAAGTTCAAATTGATCAATTAAATATTTTTTGCTTGAAAATGACACAGTGCATATATGTCAAAGACCTTTATTATGCTCAAGACTAATCGATCGAATACTCTTTATTCTAGGCTCAGGTGTGACCTATTAATTGAACAATTTTTGTCTGAAAATTATCACATGTATATAAATCAAAGATCAACTAAATATCACCATCGATAAATCATAATGTATTTACAAGTTAAGTGTTGTGTTTGGCTTAGAATTAATCGATCAATCGAACACCCTTAAACATTCCCCTTCCCCTCGAAAGTCATAGATGTGTATATATATATATATATATAGTCCGTATATATAACAGGCAAAAAAGTATTTCCCTCTCTCTTTTATTTAGGTTGATCAATCAACTCTAATGGCTTTTACAAAGCCTTTATTGGCAAAATCATTCAAAAAAAAGTCAAGGCTACAAGTGCAAAACACTAGTAATATCGATGACAAAAAGTAAAGGAGGGGAAGGGTGCAGAAGTATCAATTAGTAGAATCGTAAGTCTCATGAGAATAAATGAAGCTATAGAATCAACAACAAAAAGTTCAGCTTTGTAACTTACCCTTAAAATTATAAGATTTGGTGTAACTCAAGGTCATTCAGTACTACCTTCTTTTCTTTCTTCTTTTTTAATCAAATTAGCTTAAGGCCTTTTTATTAATAGAAAATTATTTGTCCTAACCAAATAAATTCTGGAATTTCTATCAAAGACCATGATAACACAATTTTTTTAAAAAAAAACAACTTGTACAAATTCTCTATGGAATCTAGAAGATTTAAATTCAAGCACAATGAATCAAACTAGACAATGTACAAAAGCTATAATGATAAATCTTGATAGAAACAAATTATTTTCACCTTTGCTATGATCTTCTTTCTATTTGATAGTGTTTTCAACATTATTAAAAATGTGACACTTTATGTAGGAGGGAAATGACCACTAACCCATCTAATTTGTTTGCAACATATACAATTATGATTTTTCTCATATCAAAGTAATATTTTTGTTGTTGTGCAACTTCATATAGAGTATTTATGATTTGTGCATGTGTTGTATATCAATAAAGTTTTCTCATTTTCTTTTTATCAAAAGGGACTTCATTCTTACGGTTTAATATAAAATAGTGAATAAACAATTAAATAATCATAACTCATGAAAATTCCTGAATCTATACCAAAAATTATGATACACATGAAAATTTAAAATATTATTACATTAATTAGTTGTAATTTCAAATACATTGGGGTCGAAAATGGCTATATCTTTACAAAGATTTAAAAGAACTGAAATCATTAACTCTCCCATATCGATTGTAGGATGGACATTTGACTACTTCTTTATATGGACTCGGAAAATCTTTTCCTTTTCTTGGAAGAATAATATGAGGGCATTTCCCGCGATGTCAATTTCTAAGAATTTAATTGGTAGCATGATCTCATAATTTTCTGGAATTGTAGCCAAAATTTCTTTGCTACTTGTTGTTTCTTTACTCTTGATACCCATGCCTTTTGGAGCAATGGCTTCTAATTTGCCTTCTTCTATAGTCTTTCTTTTTCGCGCATCTAAAAGTTTGAATACATAGAGACAGATCAAACATTTAAAATTAAATGTCGAGTGAATTTCATATATAGTTATAAAAAATCACTTAACTATCTATCTATTATTAATTTTTTTAAAAAATCCTTACACTTTGTTCAAATATAAGAAGAATGAAAACAAAAAGAATTTGATTATGTTTTATATATATAAATTATTGAATCTCTTTGCATATAGAAATCTTACTTTATTTCATAGATGTGTTTGAAATCAATGTTTGTAGCCTTCATATTTTTTTAATAGTTTGATACTCTTTATTTAGAATTCACTATTTTGAAAAGGTAGGAACCAATGATAATTAAATTCATTGCTAGAACTATCAAAAATATGTCAACTACAAGTTATTTACCAATGAAATTAATAGCTAATTTTTTTTTTTTTAAATAATGTATAAATATAACATATATACCCAAAAAAATAATTAAAGGAGAAGTGTGTAGATAAGAAAGAGTTAGTGAAACTCACTTTTACCCCCTTAATATTTGGATTTGAGAAACAAGATTTTCTTTACATTTTTGAATGAGACAATAAAAATCAATGACTAAAAATACATTGAATTTTTGCCTAGAAAGAATCAAAATAATGAGATATATCAAGAAATTGTTAAAATTTGAGCTCTAAAAATAATGTATACCATGAAGTCTAATGGCCAGATTTTAAAAACCAGAAATAAAGAAGAAAAAAGAACATGTTTTATTTTTTATTATAAAATACCATTACTGAAAAATTTAAATTACTGAAAAAATATTACAAATAGTAATGAGGGTTGGTTATAGTATTTTTAAATTTATTTTTAGACTAATTTATGATTAAAGAAGAATTTATTTAGACTAATTTATGGTTAAAGAAGAACTTATAATCCCAATTAAAATATAAGGGTGGTGTTATTTTTCGAAATTAAGGTACTAAGGGGGTGTAAAGTGAGATTTCTATGTAAAAAAAAAAATACAATAAATAACCTTTATTTCTAGCTGATCTTAGAAGTTCAAGGCCACGTTGTAAAGCTGGACTTTCCGCTGCTGATGTTATAGCTTCATTTGTAATCATAGGGCTTACATTTTTACTAACCGGTGATTCTCCCCCTTCTTCCATTACCTCTTGTCCTTGATACTTGTGTTTTACACTTATAGCCCTGAATTTTTTTGACGATTTTGCAAATGGAAAGTTTGTAGGAGTCAATTAATCAACCTAAAAAAAGAGAGACGTATATATTTTTGCTTGTTATAAGTAACCGATTAGAAATACAAAACGCATTATATATATGTACAAAAATGATATTTGACTTATACATTACATTTTTTATGTTTTCTAGCAAAGGGTGTTTAAGTGATGGATTACTTTTCAGCTCAACAATAATCTCTATATACTTGATGATATTCAGGCAAAAAATGTTTAATTGTGAAGGCTGCAAAGAATTAAATGGTTGAAATAAAGAAAAAGGATTACTAATAAATTATGTATAAATTATAATCCACATTTAAGAGACAACTAGTTTTTTTTTTCTTTTTAATTTTATACTTATCGTCCATAATTCACAAACTAATTAGAGTGTTAGTAGTGCAAAATGCAAAATTTAACAAATGAAGAAGAATTAAGGAAGTACTCCATCCGTCTCAAACTATTTTTGTGATTTATAAATATAATTTTCTCAGTCTTAAATTATTTTTGTGATTTATAAATATAGTTTTCTCCGTCTCAAACTATTTTTGTGATTTATAAATATAATTTTCTCAAATAAGTTGTTATCTTAAAAATTCAAGAGAACACCAATATCTTCTTTCATTCAATTCTTATTAATAATCGTTCTTGAAAACTATAAAAACATCTCAACAGAGTGAAAAAATAGTAAAAAAAAACTCTTTTTTTATAAGAAAAAGTGAATAAAAGAAAAACACGATACATAATTGAATAAAAAAAGTAAAAAGATTTTGTTGGAGGAAACATGACGATACTTACCTTAGCTTCCCTAGCGACATTAGTTTCCAGATTCACTCAGTGACGATCTTAAGATATGTAAGTCCTTAATCATGTTTTACATATATATATATATAAATTTCCTCCAAGAGGTTGATTTGACCAAATAGCACAAAGAAATGTTTAAGCATGCAATTACATTTGTCAATCAATAAAATAATAAGATTGACATATTTTTAAAACGTGTTGAAGAGACCTTATTTTCTTTCTATTGTGATGACTATATTTAGTGTGTTTGGAGTTTGTTTGTTTACTATTTTGTAACTGAAATTGAGTTTCTTTGTTCTTATACTCAAAAAGGAAGTTTTCTTGTTTGCTTTAAAAGAGTTGAATAATTGTAATTCATTAAAATTGTTAAGATTTTCAATCATGATAAATACCAAAATATAAAATTTATTGCACTTGTGAAAAGATTGAGGTGGACCTAAAGGCTTAAAATCGAAATATTATATTTGATAGAAATAAGCGAGAGACATTTTTAAACTTACAAATAACAATAACAACATTAACTAGCTGTATTTCCAAATAAAAAATCAAGATCGAAAACTCATAAACGGTAATAATGAATCGTAATAATAAATAAATTGAGTTTGAGAATTATAAGTTATCTATTGTCGTCGTATACATCATAATACCCGTTTTAACTTTAATCGAAATGTTATATTAGACAGAAAACAGTTAGAGACGTATTTATAAACTCACAACCGACAATAACAAGCATTGACGAGTCATAATTTCAAACAAATTGGGGTCGAGAACTCATAACTGAAAATAATTGGTCGTTCTTGCAAATAAATTGAGTTTAAGAATCACCGACAAACACAGAAAAAAGTTCTTTGTTGTCGTTTACATTATGCTACCCAATTTAACTTTATCGAAATTTTATATTAGGCAGAAAACAGTAGGAGAGTTATTCTCAAACTCACAATCGACAATAACAATCATTAACTAGGCGTTGTTCCAAACAAATCGGGGACAAGATTCGATAATCAACAATGACAATATAAACTAGTCTAAAATCCAAATAAGTTAAGGTCGAGATTAAACCATGAACCTGCAAATAAAGGGAAAAACCTTCGGGGTGAGCCAGTTGTTTGAGCTTCAAACTTCCATGTTGGAGGTCTCAAATTTGAAACCCCTTGCCAACAAAGTAAGGGGTTTGCCTTCTGGGTCGAGCTCGTTGCACCAGGCTTGTCTAGTGCGGATTACCTCTCCTTTGTGGTTTGCAAGCCATTGCATATGAGTGAGAGTTTTACCCTGTGCACACCCAAAGAGTAGCGCCTACGGATTTCCCTTGTCATAAAAATATGGAAAATTGTCATATACATAATGTAACAACATACCTAATATAATCCTACAAGTAGAGTTTAGAAGAGTAGAGTGTATGTAAATCTTATTTTTACCTTGGGATGTAGAAAGATTATTTTCCATTAGAACATGTGCTTAAGAAAAAACATAATGAATCACTATGGAAAAGGAAATAACATAAGTGAGAACACTCCAATTTACTAGACTTCTACCCTAATTGTGTCCTCTGTAGCCTCCTATCTAATAGGCCATGTTCTGATAAGTCAAAGATATTCATATCTTGTCTAATCATCTTCCCAATACTTCTTCGGTTTGACTCTACTTTTTCTGAAATCATCTTTGGCTAACCTCTCACATCTCTGTAATGTAACATCTATACATTTTCTTTTACATGACTAAACTATCTTAGTCTTGTTTTTTTTTCTTGCATCTTGTCCTCCATGGAGATCCAATCCACCTTAACCCAAATATCTTCATTTTTAATTTTATCTCACATAGTAAGCTTATAAATCAATCTAATCACTCTTATTTCTACAACTTTCACCTTATAGACATGAGAGTTCTTGACTAGTGAACATTCTATCACATACATAGTTTGTGTATCACCACTCTGTAGAGCTTGTCTTAACGTTTTGATAGATCCTTCTTATCACACAAGCCTTCATACACGAGCCTCTATTTCATCTACCCTACATCTATACAATGTGTAACATCATTGTCAATTTCTCCACTACCTTGGACAATAGACTCAAGATATTTAAAATTGTCTCTCTTTTGGATGACCTATGTATCAAGTATCACTTCCACATTAGATTCATGTAACGCATCACCGAACTTGCATTCCAGTTATTTTATCTTGGTCCTACTTAACCCGAATTCCTTAGACTCAAGAGTATATCTCTCCAAACTTTCAGCTTTATTTTAACTCTGTCGTAAGTCTCGTTATATACTATGTTGAAGTAATTTGTTTGAAACTTTTATATGAACCACTTTTGTAACGGTACATACAACACAAAAAGTTTTTAATAGAAAATGAATGTATGTAAATGTAATCTATCGATATACTATAGATAATGTATAATTATATTTATATATGGTGTATAAAATTATGGGCAACTTTTACATATAGCAAACATAAAATTCATATTTGTATGCTATAACAAAGTTTGTATAATTGCGCTCCATAGCAAACTTATATATGTATAATTCGCTATACATATACAATTGAAGCAAATTGTATTAAACGAATTGTATAAAGCGAGAAAGAGAGAAACCATATACAATTTGAATTGTATAAAACGAGAAAGACAGAATTGAATAGTATAAAACGAGAAAGAGAGAAATTATATACAATTTGAATTTGTATAAAACGAGAAAAAGAGAAAGACAAAAAGAGACTTGTGCAGGGAAGAATTGAATTGTATAAAACGAGAAAGAAAGAAATTATATACAATTTGAATTTGTGTAAAACGAGAAAGACAAAAGAGACTTGGGCAGAAAAATATTTGTGTTGTACAATTATAAGTGTAAAGGACAAAAATATATGTATTTGCATGCATTTATACAATTTTCTCTCGTTTTATACTTAGAAACACAATTTATACAATTCTATTGTATAAAGCGAGAGCAGCGAGCGACAAGAATAAGCGAGCGAGAGAGGCGAGCGATAAAAATAAGCGCGAGAGAGAGGAAGAGTAGCGAGCGAGAATTTGAGGGAGAGAGGGACTGACAAACAGTTTGCTATGGAACACAAATAAATCAAAGGGTACCTACTACATTTATTTTATATTATTATTTGTCATTCTATAATTGGTCATTTTTTAACATATTAAACCAAAATAATTATTTTTCTCATATTTTGCTTTTAATATTAATTATTTATTTATTTATTTAAATCATTGTTTTCTTAATAGACACGTAAAATCAAATATAATAAGTGTGATGGTAAACGGAGAGTATTAAATAACTACATCAGCCAACTACTACCTTTGAATCTCTTCTCGTCCACTCTTTAATATCTTCTTTAAATGCACAACTTCCTACCTTCGCTATATAAACCAAATAAAGTTCCAAAATTAGTTTTCTTTTAGCTATAAACTATTTGTTTAGTAACTTTACTACTTAAATGTAGCTAAAAGAAATAATTTTTTTTACTTTCATTTAGAAAATAATCAAATATGATATTTATATAAAACAATTCTCTTATTTATTTTAATAGAATAGAAAATTCTAAAGGGATATAATTATATATTTATCTTAAAGTCTCGATGATATATCTTTTTCACACGGTATCTCGAATGCATTTTTAAGTTAATTTACTTCAACTCCAGTTCAATATAACGTGTATTATTATTTTTAATTTCTCTGTTTTCTTGAATTACTTAAAACTGCCTCTATTGGATATGACTTGTACATCCATCTCCATACTTTTCACATTCACTTCATGTTTTACATTATCGAACTTACACTTTAAGTGCTCAACTTTACTCATCATGTTTAACTCGAAACCTAAATAAGGTCTATCTACAAACTTTCAATATAGTTAACTTCACCCCACGTCTCATCAATTACTATTATTTTGTCCACGAAGTGTAAAAGGCAAGTGAATTTAGTTCAATTAATAAATCTATAGTAGGAATGTGTTGCTTCGTTGTAGCGACTTTTGCACCTTGTACCATCTTGAGTTATTGAAAATATTAATATCGAGAAATTAGGGATCAGACAATACATTAGGAAATGCAAATCGGCAATCAAACGATAAAGATTAAATAGTAATCTCACTTTTTTCTCTCTATATTTGATTTGATTTATGTAAAGTAATATATCGAACCCAAAAAGAAAAGATCATGACACCTCCTCTAATATGGGCTTAGAAACATACAAGGATTTTGAGTCGGCCCAAATATAAAACCAAACGGGTCAAAACAAAATCCAGAAGAAGTATAAATACCAAGAATACGATAAAATTACAATCTTTTTCCCCTTTCGAGAACCAGAGCTCTTCGATTTCTCTTCAATTCAGGTATTCTTTTTTAAATTTCTCTTCGATTTCAATTCATAAACCCTAATAATGGAACCCCAAATGCGCAATTTCCCAGTTTTTATACAATCGCCAGAGCTTCAGATCCCTACTCATGTCCTAAATATTGAAAACCCTAATCCTAATTTCACTTTGCAAGACCTCAAATCATGTTTGCTTGAAAAAACCCAGAAATCATTGGCTGCAATTAAGGATTCTGTCTATCTTACTTTTGATGGTCGACCCATTAAGGATTCAACTCTATTATATGGTTCTGGGATTAGCCCGTTTTCCACTTTGGTACTACGTTTCCGCCTTCGTGGTGGTGGTGGTGATGGAGGTGCCACGGGAGCGGAGTCCCGAGACTGTTATCTCAAGATGTATGCTGTTAAGAAACCGGATAAAATTGATCCAAATGAGATTAGGTTGTCTAGATGGTTGAATTGTGCGTTGTCGAACGAGTCATTAAAGCATCCTGTTGTTATTGATAAGCTTGGGAATTTGTTCAATAAGGAGACGTTAGTTGAGGCTTTATTGAAGAAAAGGCTGCCTAAGCAGTTTGGGTATATAAAGGGATTGAAAGATATGATTCCGGTTGAGCTATCGGTGATTCCGGGCAAAGAGGATAGAGGGCTTGGTGATGGTGAAGGGACTGGGTTTCAGTGCCCGGTAACAGGGTTGGAGTTCAATGGGAAGTACAAGTTCTTTGCTTTGAGGGGTTGTGGGCATGTTTTGAGTGCAAAAGCTTTGAAGGAGGTGAAATCCTCGGCTTGTTTGGTTTGCCACAAGGAGGTTGTGGAGAGTGACAAAATTGTGATCAACGGGAGTGAAGAAGAGGTTGCGGCTTTGAGGGAGAGAATGGAGGAAGAAAGGGTGAAATTGAAGGATAGTAAGAAGGTGAAGAAGGGGAGGAATGTGGATGTAGCTGTGAATGGTGAAGAGGTCATTGGGGCATCACGCTTGAGCGGAATGAAACATGGGATTGAGGATAAGCTGGTAGGCAAGGATGCAAGGAAAGTGGAAGGGAATGGTAAAATTGGCATTAAAAGTAAGATTGAAGTTAAGGATGTGAAGAATAGTTCGAGCAACGGGTCTGGGAAGAGGTTTAAGGCTGTTGATGTAGCTCCAGCTCATGCTACAAAGGAAGTCTATGCCTCCATTTTCACTTCATCAAGAAAGTCTGACTTCAAGGAGACTTATTCTTGCAGATCTTTGCCCCTTGGAAGAAACTGATAGCTGTTTTTGTCGAGGTGATCTGCTAGTGTCTTGGACTGGTTTTATTGTCTTAAAATGTTGTTTCACGATAGATAGTTACATGCTAGACCACTGAGTCGTAGATGTTGCCTCTTGCCATTTGATTCAGTCGGTACTTTATATGTATAACATACATTGTTATTGTACATTTGATGTTGCTTTTCAGAGTCTGCTTGAAACACTATAGCAGCTTTTGTTCACTCGCTTATGACCGTTTTCTGCTGATTTCTTTTAAATGATTTGTACTTCTAGTAGTTCTTGTCATTCTGATACCGCTCATTCAGCTTTAAGAAAATGTGATGACCTTTCTTGAAGGTAGTTGGCTTCTTCCCAGATCATTACACGCCTTATTTTAACATGTCGCACTGGTTTTCCTGGAACATGACATTCTTATTTAGTTGGGTATAACGCGCAATCCTTGTGGGGGCTTTAGTGATTGATTAGCTCTCGAAGCTCGTTTTGATGCAGTGTAGTTTTCAAATGAAAACCTTTATTTCATCGTAGCACGAATTGGCAGACTATCTTCTGTTGATGAGCTCTTCTCTAATAAAGAATTTCTTCTTGTTTCCTAGTTGTTATTTGCCCTTTGTTTTCCTTTCTTTATTTCATTTGATAATTCCTTTGACTTATTCTCAACAAGGTTTATGTCGTTGTATATGAGAGTTTCTTATTGGTTTCTGTTTGTATTGCTTTCTGGTGGTTTCATTGTTTTCTTGTATGTGGCTATGTTGTTGTGCCTCAGATTTTGGTTCGTTCCAGTACTGCTCGATTTGCCTGTACTAAAGATTGTGTTTACCCATCCATGATATGATTTGCTCCTACCAAATTACTCGACTAACTGGACGTATAATCATCATTAACTGTTGATGATTGCGTCAACAACAATAACAAACCCAGTATAGTTTCTTAAGGGAGGGCTGGAGAGGATGAGGAGTAGGGAGGCTGTTTTGGATAGACGTTATGTTAAATAGGTGAGTTCTCTTGAAATGTGTTTGTAAATTATGTTGAAATGATTGCAGGTTTCATTTAACATCATCCTCTCCCTTATCATTCAACTAATACTACAAAGTAAGTCTATGACACTATGCCTCTACATTGATTTTGTATATCTGATGGTTTTGACTTGTATAATTGTTTTTAAATATTATCAGTGCATGAGATTACTTTGAGTTGAAGGTCTATATGGTTAAACATACCTCCGTTATACTTTTGATCTAAATATACTCCTACCTTTTTGACTCAGTGATTTGGCTTTGAGACTTTTATGTTGGAGTTTTTAAGTTCGAAATTCCTTGCCAGCAAAAGTAATGTGTTTGTCTTCTAGGTTAAGCTCATGAGAGAGCTATATTTGAATTGAAATTATAATAAGAAAGGGTATATTTAACCAATAATATATATTTGATTCTTTTCCATTTCTATTTCACAAGATAGGAATTGAGTTATATATACATTATTTCCTCTACATTCCACTTGTGAGACTATTACCAATATGATCGTTGTATCATCCGTGCATAAAAGGAGTGTAAGATTATTCATATGAATCATGATAACTTTCACTATTTAAGCGTAACTTTTGCCTAAGAAATTTTGAAATATGTATTTTAGCAAACTACCATTAAATGTTCAAATTTAACCTAGATACCCATTTTCACATTTCGGACATATTCATTTTCAATGATATTGCGCAACATACGCGTTATCAACATAGTCTTGTAATAATAATTATGGTATCCTTTTCGACCTTTGTTGCCACGACACGTTTTTATATTATACTATATTCTATTCCTTCCTTTTAACATATGTATCAAAAATACTAAATAGCCCTCTTATTCACAAAAGAAATCTAGAGGTCTCTATTCTCTTTCCTTTTGGTCAAAATAGTCCAAATTTCAAATTGGACTATTCTTCTTCATATATATAAATAAATCATCTATCTCTGCATCAACCATATCAACCATGATAAGCAAAACTTCTTTTGTGCTATTTCTCATTGCTATTGCTCTTTTTCTTCATGATGTAACTTCTATAGGTGTTAATTACGGGACTCTCGGAAACAACCTCCCTCCGCCAGCTCAAGTGGCTCAGTTCATCAAGGATAAAACGGTCATAGACCGTGTAAAGATTTTCGATATCAACCCTGACATCCTCCGTGCTTTTGCAAACACAGGAATCTCGCTAACAGTCACAGTACCAAACGGCGAGATCCCGAATCTACTGGATCTCGCCTATGCTCGACGATACGTCGAGCAGAATATCAAACCTCATTACCCACAGACAAAGATGGATGTTATTCTAGTGGGTAATGAGGTTCTTCACTGGGATACACCTGAGGTACAGAACAAGCTTGTTCCAGCTATGAAAGTTTTTTACCAAGCTTTGGGTTTATCTGGGTTGAAGGGTATAAAAGTCTCTTCAGCTCATTCGTTGGGTATTCTACTCCGTTCTAACCCACCCAGTGCAGCCCGGTTTCGACCCGGTTGGGATGTGGGTATTCTAGCTCCGATGCTACAATTTCTTCGTGAAACAAAAGGTCCTTTCATGGTAAATCCCTATCCCTACTTCGGATACAACAAGAAACAAGAGGATTTTCTTCTATTTAGAAAGAATAAAGGGGTTTACGATAGATTTTCGAAGAAATGGTATACGAATTCTTTTGATATGTTGTTGGATGCGGTGTATATGTCGATGGTGAGATTGAAGCATTCAGATGTGGAGATTGTTGCTGCTGAGACAGGGTGGCCTTCGCAAGGAGAAGCGTATGAACCGCAATGTACTGTGGAAAATGCAGCTTCGTATAATGGTGGATTGATGAAGAAATATAATTCCGGGATCGGTACGCCATTGATGCCGCACAGGAAGATCGAGACCTACATTTTTTCATTGTTCAATGAGAACACCAAACCCGGATCCATCGCTGAGAGGAACTTCGGGTTGTTCCGACCCGATTTCACTCCGGTTTATGATGTCGGAGTTTTGAAAAGCAACCAGGTAATTTCGAAAAATTAATACTTCCTACGCACTTTTACATTTTGAGATTTAAAACAAATCTATCATTTTAAAAAAATTGAAAATTTTATACGCAATTGTTCAATCAAAGTTAAATTATTTGATTTTTATAAAATAAAAATGTCACGTAAAATGGAATAGAGATAACAAAACAAAGTGGCTTAAACACATCTAAATTAATTGAGTACTATAATAGTATTGTTTTGTTATAAGCATAAGTAATTAAATGGAAATCTAATTAACTAGTAGATCAACTTTATTTAATTGAATCCATGAGGGGTATTTAAGTCATTTTGCTAATGTAATTATGATTATAATGGTACTGCTATAATTACAACAAGCTTTTTGTAAATAATTTCATTTTGTCTTTTGGTTTGAAGAATCTTTTTTTTCCAGTTGAGTACAGCTAGTTGTATTGCATTTTTTTCCACTCTAGAACCTAGATACATGGGAATATGTTTTCCATGTGGAGTCGTTTTGGTACTCGAATCCAATAATTTTTTTAATTTTGATTCAAGTGTTTTAATTTGACGATAGTATTAAACGTACACACTTTAAAATTATTATCATCTAATTAATAAACGTGGCATGGTCGAAAAGAAAAAAGTTGACACCTGTTGTAGTGGCCACCACATGTTATTACGTAATAGATTAATAAAAATAATTTCTTCATTGGATTCTCTTGCATTAAATAATTGTCATTTTTTCAGTGAACCAAAAAAAAAGTTTAACATGTCCAACGGCTACTTAATGAAACATGTGATGTAGTATTTACAAAATGAAAAAAGAAATAGATTTCATAAGCATCATCTTTTTTCTTTTTTTTAAAAAAAAAAGATTTCATAAGCATATCTTTAAATTTGAATCTTGTCTTCTTTGATTTTTGTTTTTTTACTTTATTCTCTCTTCTTTTTAATGTATTGCTTTCTCCTTTATGGTTCCACTAATTTAAAAATAGAAGTCGGTATTCGTAAGTGACGGATTTAGAATTTTCATAATGAGTTGTTAATGGTTATGGCTTAAACACATGACACGACCTTAGGAATTTTCGTAACCCTTTAATCGCTAGGTTGCATAGAGAATATATGATGGGTTTGGTTATTATCCATTATTTGATTCATTTTAGTTCAAGTAAACTTCATGTGATAATTATGTTAGCATTAGCGATCGAGCTAGAAATTCATATAAAAATATTCATTATTATTGAAATTTGAACTTGTAACTTAAGCGGCGGAGAGTTTGACCGTAGGAATAAATTGATTAACAGTTTTCTTGAGGAAGAGATCTAGAATGAACACTTTTTTCATTCGCTATACGCTAATTGAAGCTACTATTGATCTCTTTACTATCTAATATTTTTCACCTTTCTTATAAGAGATGCACCACCTTGCCTCTTACTAGAGTGTGTCACTACTTATGACCGATTAATCGATTTGACTTTGTTTAACTCATTCATTTGTCACCTCTAGTCGATAAGTTTTATAATTTTGATACTTACAGGCTCACCCAACACCTTCATTGCCCCCACCAAAAACCGGTGGCGGAGGCAATAAAGGTCAACCAAAAACACCAGCAGAGAACAAAAAATTCTGCATGCCAAAGGTTGAGGCAACTGATGCACAACTACAATCCAACATTAACTATGTGTGCAGTCAGGGAGTTGACTGCACACCAATTCAAGTGGGTGGTTCCTGCTTTAAACCCAACACTATCCGATCTCACGCAGCCTTTGCCATGAACTCGTACTATCAAAAGGAAGGTCGAAACAACTTCAATTGTGACTTTGCTGGTACTGGTGTAGTCGCCTTCTCCGATCCAAGTAAGGTTTTTTAAAACATGAAATTATATGATCTTTTTATGAAATTTATAGTATGATAATCTTTCTAATGATGTTATGTGTGTTTGTGTGTGTTTTCTAGGTTATGGAACATGCAAATTTGAATCTTGAATGTACGTGAAGCTAAGGATGATAGCTAGTATTGACTTGTAATATTTATGAATGTTATGTACTTTGGTTTCACATATATAATCTAATTGTATTGGTTTGGTATGTAAACGTTCTTTTTATATACTATGTCATTTAATGTGCCTCATTTATTAATTTCTCTTTTCCATTTGTTTTCAATTTTATCAAGTCATCTTAAATATAGAAAAATACATATTTAAAAATAATTACTAATTTTAGCGATATTTTTTGTTTATTACTATTTATAGCAATATTGTGATAAATCTGTAATATGTATTAAAAGTGAATTATAATTATTTTTAAAATATATTATGTTTTTTTGGTAAAAAATTGTCACATTGTATTATATGTGCATTAAATGTGTGATAAACTATCCATCATTTAAACTTGTATTATATTTGAATAATAAATTTAGTTGTGTAATATGTATTAAACTTGTATTATAAATGAATAAAAAGTGGTCAAGTGAAAAAAAATATTATTGCTATAAATGATAAATATTTTTTTATTACAGTTTGTTGGGCTTGCTAAGGAGTGTAGCAAACAAAAATGGCAAACATTATATATGTATAAGTAATTGTATTTGTATAATTGCTGATTTATTGCATATACGTAATTAGTTTGTATATATTATTCAATGAATACAATTGTTTTTTTTTAAAAGATTTGTATCAATAAATAAATTGTATCATATAATATAATTGTATTAAGGTTGTAACAAGTTCAACATTGTTATCATTTGTATCAATGTTGTACCAATGGATACATGTATATTTATATTTTGTATCACTAAAGTGTATGTGCATAGTTGACACACATCATTTGTATCGATTTAGTTGATTGTTATCATTTGTAATTGTGTAATTGATTGTTCACATTTGTATTAGTATTTAGAGAAAAGAGGCACAGAGAGGGGAGGGAGAGGAGAGAGCTGAGGGAGAGATGGTAGAGAGAAGAGAGTCGAGTATATATATATATATATATCTCATATATTTGTTTAATTCTGTAATTTTCATATTACACTAATATTACTTTAAGATAATGTAAAAATTAAACAATAAAGAGTAAAAGTTTAATTTGGTTAAAAATAATGTAACCAATAATAAGAATTATAATAGGTTGAATGAAATTTCTCTATTCTTAGTTAGGAGTTTCGTGTTGAAATTCAACCCATGAAAAGAATTGTTTGAAGCGTCTTTTTTAATTGTGTTTTATTTAATTAGTCGAACTTTAAATATATACAAATATAAATTGATTTTAGTTTAAATGCAAGTATTGAACATAAAATAAAAATAGTATTCTATCGCTGAGCTCCAAAGTCTTCTTATATGTTATCACATAATCAATAAAGATCCTACTGTAAATTACAACACAACATAACACGTGACACGTAACAACCTCATTTTCTATTCATTCTAATCCATATCGAATACGAATAATTATAAATCAAATATATAAATTATATTCTCAAAAATCATTTTTTGTTACTTTAACTACCTAACTAGTAATTACTTTTACAATTTTACAAAGCTCAAAATTTGTAACTTTTTTTTTCTTCTTAATAGACCCTCAAAACCAGATTTGAAGAGCACAAATTTGTACCCTTCTAAGAAGCCCTCAAAACCCTCTCTTTATTGCGTCTTTCTCCGGAAGTACTCGCAGTTCTCTCTCTAATCGATAATGGAGGACGACGATGAATTCGGAGATCTCTACACCGATGTACTCCGCCCCTTAACGGCGTCGTTTCAGTCTCAGCAGCAGCCGGTAGCGCAAGAAGAAGCTGCGCCCAAAGCCGCCGGGGCTACGAGCCGGCCGATCGATCTGAACATCAACAGCGATGATGAGGAGATTTTATACGGAGCTCCGAATTCGAATTCGAAACCGAATTTTGCTGGGCCGAGTGCTATTACTGGTCAGGAAAAAACCCTAGCTTCTCCGCTAGATGTTAAATCCGGGTCGAGGTTACCCGAATCCAATCTGTATTTAAAACTTGGAGCTGGAAGAATGGAGGGTTTGGGTGGAATTAATGAATCGGATTCGACAGCTAGGGTTTTGGTTGAGAGTGAGGATGTGAAATTAGCTAAAACGGAGTTTCAAGATTTGAATTTTATGGATGAAGCTAATATTGATATTGTAGTGGAAGAGACGGATGATAAAGATGATATTTTGGTGGGGAATCATCAAAACGTAGGTGAAGACCATGAGAATCTGAAGGATGGGACTGGAAATGCAGGGAATTTCGTGATTGAAGCTTCTGGTGCCGAGCAGTTGATTCCTGGGCTGGCGATTCCGGGTGTTTCAGGTGGGGCGGGGAATACTGGAGAAGGTACTTTTGAGGATGATTGGGATAGTGATAGTGAGGATGATTTGCAGATTGTGTTAAATGACAACACTCATGGACCAATGGGCATGGAGAGAATGGGTATTGGTGAAGAGGACGATGAAGATGAAGATCCTTTGGTTATTGTTGCTGATAATGATGGCCCAAGCCATCCACCAATGATGGAGGAGCAAGATTGGGGTGAAGAGGGGGGTCCTGCCGCTAATGGAGAGAGAAAGGAGATATTAGATGCACTAAAAGTGAATGGAGCACCTGGAGTAGCAGGAAAGGTTGGGTACCCCAATCATGCATACAATCATCCGTATCATTCCCAGTATAAGGTCAGTGATGTTGTACCTCTGGGGGTTTGTGTTCTTCCCATATTGTTTGATCAGAACATGCAATGTAAGCTGACTTGTAATTTTCTTATGGTTTTGTGGTCATTGGTGATGTTAAGGCCGATGGCTCTCATTGTATGCACAAGCTGTATAAAGAATTGTACTGATGATAATATTATTAATAAAATTTATTTCATAATTTTGCTGGAAATAATTCCTGTTTAGTCAGTCTATAGCATAGCCATACTTTAATTTATAGGTAGAGGATGTTTGAAATGTTCCAAATACAAGGCATCTGCAAAGGCTAACAGTACTCATCCACAAATTGAATTCTCTTAGGGATATCCAAACGTACAATTGAAAATCTCCTTTTATGCGAAAAATGTGGGACACATGTGATGAACTCTAAACTATTCATAATCCTATGTGATTGCATGTTGGTTCACACTTTTATCGCCATGTGATACATTGCATGCTGTTGGCACAGTTAATCGTCTAACGTTACTCATCTAAAAGCACTTCAATTTAACTGGCTGTTGTTAGCACATTTTTTAAATAGATAAAAGCTAGTTTTTTAACAATTGGGTGTCCGGCAGTTGTTAGCACCTTTTTAAATAGATAAACACTGTTTTTGGACTATTTATCACCATCTGCAAGTTGTATCTGCTGCTATGTTAGTAGCTCCTGAGAATGTAAATGGAAAATCTCAGAAAAACTTTTGGACATTAGTTTGTTGGTGGACCATTCCTGACTTTTGATCTCTTTTCAGTTTAACTATGTTTTTGTCTCTAATCAGCACCCTCATTTTCCGGACGGACTGGACCTATGCAAGTAGATCATTAACGAATGAAGCCTATTCAAGTCAATCTGGTTGCTTAAACTGATAATGATATATACTGAAAGAAAGATCCGTTTTCTAATGCTGAGTGATGAAGTACAACATTCAATTAGTATTTGGTCAAATATGAAGAAAAGAACAGATATATAGGAATTTGTAACACTGAAAACTGTTTTATTTCAGTTGCATGAAATTTATCACGATTAAGTAACGTACGCAAGTCCTATTTTCAGACATCATAATATAAAGTGAAGGTTTTAGTCCATATTTCTCACTTTGCTTGCTGAATCTGTGAAAGCAATGTCTTACGTGCTTATCTGGGGACATACTTAACACATTGAACTGTTCTTTGGCCGCCGCATGTTTACTCTTAGCTTGCTTACTTGATTAAACTCCTTCAGAACTGCTAGCTTATATGCCCAATTTTGTTGTCTGTTTCTTGTCAGATAATTGGAAGATTTACTATTTATTTTTTACTTTTACTGTTTTAAAAAAGATTTTCTGTATATTTCTGTTCTGGATTCTTTTTCTTTTTGCCATTCTGTCCTGATAGTTGTCCCTGTTGCATTATTTGGACAGCTGACATGAATCTCTTCTCTGTTTTTCTTGTATCATGTAGTATGTGAGGCCTGGTGCAGCTCCTATGCCTGGAGTTCCCCCGTCGGGTCCTGGAGGGATACCTGGTCAAGTCCGCCCCCCTGTCAATGTAGGCCCTGTAGCTGGACGTGGTAGAGGTGATTGGAGACCACCAGGAATGAAAGGTGGCTATGGTATGTCTGGCTGGGGAGGTGGTGCGTCTGGACGTGGCCTTGGGATTGGGCTGGAATTCACTCTTCCTTCACACAAGTATGTTTCCCTGATTTATAACATACTCAAATTTGCTATTCTTTCTGTTTGGTGAGGTTCGGTATTTACTGTTATGAATGAATTAAGTGTACCACCTCTTTTCTAGTTACACTACTTTGCCGTAATTTCTTTTTAATAAACATCGTGTGTTGAGTCTGTAATTTAGTTTGGTTATTGTCATTATGTGCAAATCCTCTGTTCTTGTCTCAAGCATGGGCACTTCAGTTCCTATGTCCAAATTTCTTTGGAATTTTAGAGTTATATGATTGTGCTGTATGTTCACAGAATTGAGTTTTTGGCAGTTGAGGAATAGTCTCCATCTCTCCAATCCCTTATTTATTTTGGTGCACCCGTGTAGTTCCAGGTTTTATAGAGGATTGAGTGTCTTTTATAGAGAACAATATCTTTGTGCAAGTCCTTTACTGTTTGGTATACGTCTTGAATATGAACCTTCTTTTGGCCTTGTGATTAATGAAAATATTTACTTGTTAAAAAAAAGACTGTCAATATTCAACAACTCTTCCTGCCTCTTATATTATGTCGCTATCTGTAGCTGCTATAAGGAGTGTTTGCTTCCCGTCAAATTTCCCAATTAACTTGTTTTTATATCTCTCTTAAGACCTATTGAAGAACTTGTCCT